CGCTCCTCCGATCTTTTATCTTCGATCACATATCACAAAATTTGTAAGTCACAATATTTAATAACAGTCACAAACATCACATTAATTGAACATAGATTATATTTATGCCACAATTTATCAAATTATTGGTAACAATTTAAATATTTTTAAATGACACGGCATTTATTCGTCAGAGTTTATCTAATTCATTGATCACATATTGTTTATTGATCACACAACAATCAAATTATTGGTCACAATCAATCAAATCATTTGTAACCACCACCAAATCATTTGTGACCACCACTTCGTCACTATTTCCACCAGCGGCACCACCATCGTCGCTGCCTAATACCAACATCAACATCTCAAAACGAACACCACGCCCTCCCAGTACCACTATTACCACCCCCAAAACCACCACCACCACACGCACCACCAACACCCACCCACGCACGCACAACATATCTACCAAAAATAGATCTGTGCCTCCACCACTGCCGCACCCATACCACCGTCAACCGCCGCCGCCGCACCAACACATGCACACCCGACCATTGCAACCAACGCGCACACACACACCCAACCATCGCATCACCGCAACCACCACACCACACACAAAAAAAAAAATGAAACGACAGAGATGCTGCTGCGAACAGTAGCGTCGAAGGACTGCAGCGTCGCGACGCTGCCGTTCCAGACAGAAAAGAGACGAGGGGGAGAGGGAGATGATAGGAAGAAAAGACGTCGTGACAACGACGGAGTTGAGAGACGGGAGAAGGGGATGGGTTCAAATGATTTTAGGGCTGGTTAGATTAGATAGGGTAGGGGTGTATATAAATTAATTTATATTGTATATAGATATAAAAATAAAAAACAGTATTTTTATATATTTATAATTTTTAGTGGACTTAGAAATACTATCCACTTATCCAAAGCTTATTTTTATATATTTATAATTTAAATTGATTACAAACAACTTTCTGCATTTTCCTTGGGTAGAAAACATGGTTGGTTACTAATCATTCATTAATTAATAAAATATGAAAAACAGTATTATGAGAATAAAAAAAGCTTTAAAATTAAGTTATTTTATTTTGCTCCAATGTAAAATACATAGAGCACTCCAATTCATAAATATTTTGGGATACTCCTCTTAATAAGGTTGACCTTTTAAGATGGAACCCTAATTCTTAACAGTTCCAATAGATCGCTTAACATTCATTCACTTTTCAGTTAGAGCACTCCACTAGCAAAACTAATCAAATTCATTGTGGCGATGGAATTTGCTGCGTTAACCAGTAAAGGCGAAATATGCTATCAGGGCACACCCTTGAGCCTCGATCGAACTTTGAGTTAGTTGTCTAGTCAGCTCATGTTGTTTCTCCATATGCCGATTCATAAGAAAGAAAAAGCGATCTTTCATTTCGTAGAATCAAGCATTGAGATACGCTTCTCCCTAGTCATGCTTCCGAATAGGAAGTGTTCAAGGGAAAATATTGTGATGTGATCACAACATGATACTGTCTCTTCGACTCTTCCCTCCCCAATCGGCTACGGATTGAATTAGTCAATTTTCAACAAACTATTATTACGCTCCTGCTTATGATTTGAAAATTGAAATACTAAGTAAGCTCATGATTGATTAGTTAGACTAGACGAGAAGAAAAACATACATTTTGATCTTTTATTGACGTACAATCTTATTCAGTACAACTTACCAAACATCTTGAAAATAAAACACAAAATTATTAGTATTCATGATATCATGACATAATTTGAATGATTAGGAAAGTTAAATATGCAGCAGCACATTGTCAATTAATATAGAGAAGCATCAAATGATTAATGCAAAATATAGAAAGTTCAGAATTGAGTCTAATTCAGACAAGATACAAAGTAATTTCTTACTTCTCCTTAAGGTTCTAAATTATTCAAATATTGGTTAAAAGGGTTTCATTGTGAGGTGGAAGGCCTGAATTTAACTCCATTTAAGCATCTCGAAACATAGTCCCTTGCAAGTGACTGGAGATCACCATCTTCTAGCTCCTCATCAACTGCATTACAAAAGCTTGCCATTTCTGTTGATGTTTCCTCGGACTGGGAGGTATCGAAATGAGTCATTATGTTAGAATTGCACACGAACCCTGACGAGGACTGAACGTTGGAAGAGGAAAGACTCGGTGGTCGAGGAGGAGGAGGTGGTGGAGGAAGCCGGTGCAAAGTTGATATGCGAGCTTGAATATACGCCAACTCCGCCTGCAAATTAACAACCTAAAACCATAGAAAGAATATTATCACTTCTCTTATATCTCATGTAAAAGTTCAAGTCGTTTGAGAAAATATCAACTTCTTTTGACAAAAAAAAGATGAAATATGTGAACTTTGACTTGAATTAAAATCCGCTCCCCTACCAAATAAAGTCTTACTTAAGTTCTTTGGAAAGATGCGTGTTGAATAAAACTTGGCTAAACATAGAATTCTATTTGTATATTAAATAAATTTCACGTTTGAACTACTATTAAAAAGTACTAAAATTTTAGCTAAAGCTAAACTTTATAATATAATAAACAAAGCGCCATTTGTGTATTGGAATGCTAAGTAAGTCCCATTTAGTCAACTTTCTATCATCTCTATGATTGTAAAGTCAAGCCAATTTCAAATTAATATTGGTATCTTACCTAATTAAAGGCAACACGCCATTGAAGTTTATCTGCCAATTATGGATAATAGTGTGAAATTATATTCAATTTTTAAAATATAAACAACAAATTAAATATAGCAAAATGACCTTCGTTCTCAATATAATTGGCTATTGGATAGAACATATGCTTATTTTGAATTCAATTTTGTTATATGTACATCAGGATTTACACTAGCACAATTCCACGACTTTCATATCTTACACATTTAATCCAATTATTACAATCTTGTCACCTATGTGGAAAATGGTATCAAACTTTTAATGTACAAAATTGTTTTAAATTTATCGATAGAGCGTCAATGACGAGTGACGACCACAATAAAAACATATTAAAACTCAAATTTGGGAGTAATCTAGAAGGTTAAAACATCAATTATTTGAATATTCTCGAGCTCCCAAGTGCATAGAGTTCCTTGGTAACTCCAACAAGCAACAAGTATTCAAGCTATGAAAGTAAATTAGCTTGTAATTATTAATGTCAGCTTCCATAGATAAAATTAAAAGTAGAAAGTTTGACACTTTGTAAAAGAAAGAGTAAGAATCAATACATATTTTAAAAGAAATATTAAGATGAAAAAAACTACATAAAGCCAAGAACCGAGAGAAGAAATTCAACAGTCAATCATTTACCCTTCGAAGGGTCACACTAAATTTCCATCATCGTTTTAATTTTTAATAAATTCCTTACTAAATTAAACTTCGGACCCAAAATTCAAGATTGTCACACCACAATTTCTGCACATATTTAAGAACGTTGAGTTATGTTTATGGGACTTCTTTAAGAAAAAAGAATATGTTCCTTACTCCTCTATCTTGGTGCATGTTGGCCAAGGTATGAGAAATATGATTTCAAAGTGCGGTAGTCAAATGTGTTTGTAAAAATTACCATGCAGTTCGTATTGATTCCAGCAGGAACAGAAGCAGTACAAGTCGAAATTTCCTTTAGTTTTACCATTTATTCTTGCTGTTCGTAGTTTAATGTAATATAGAACATGGAGGATGGCCGTTGGGTGTGGGTTATAGGTAGGGTGGGGTTTGGGGCTGGTTATCCATCCATACCTGTTGCTGTAGAGTAAAGATGTGGCCAACGCAACCATAGACAGGATCCCTAACCCTAGCAAGAGCCTCATAACAAAGAGTAACCACGGCGTCGAGGCGTTTGTGCGGCGGAATTCTGAGAAGCATTTTGGTAGCATTGCTGGCTCCAAACACCTTGTGAACGGCGGCGAAGTGAGTGGTGCCTTGGTCTGAGTCAAAATATGGTGCAAAAATGCAACCCTTTACACACTTCCTTCTAAGGAACTTGCAGGCACCACAAGGCCCACCACCACTCCCATTCTGACCACCACCACCACTCATCACTAAGATTATCTGGGTTTCTATAACTTTGCTTTGCGGGAGCAGAAAAATGGGGAGTTCAAGATTTGGAGAGAGAGAGAGAGAGAGAGGGGTTTTCTTCCCTATTTAATTACTTAGCTTATTGTGACAGAAGAAATTGAGGAAACTTTTGGTGGTGGGTCAGATGATTGTTCTAGTTTTATAGACAGCGCTATGAACTTTGAGTCTTTCAATAACTGGTACAAATAATACACCATCTTGGAAGCTAAATACTAAAATTTCTAGTTTAAATTTTTATCATTGAAAATAAAATTTTGGAAAAAGTTATAATTATTTATAAACGATCAAATTTTATTTTCAACCACACACTTTAATGTACCTAAATTACTGTGTACTTATTCATCACTCATTTTTATCTATTTATAAATAAATCGTTTATAAATTCATTTCGGATTTCATGTTTACTTGTTCTTATTTCGATTATTTTATTTCATTAACTGTTATTTCGTTTGAGACTTAATCTTTTGGTAATGCTCATGTCATTTACTCCCTTCAAAACATTTTATTATTCTCAGAAACGTCATTTAAAATCTTTTTTGGTGTTCAAATCTCTTCAACATCTGTTTGACCTAGCTTCGGAAAAATTAAAAGTTTTATGAAACTTTTTGGATAATTTTTTGAAAATACTTGTTTTTAGAGAAAATTGATTCATTGTAGCTTTCTAGAAAATTATTCTACAAAAAGTAAAAGTCATGTCAAATGTATATTTAATTGTTTCTATTTTTACATTTTAACGAAAAAATTATAAATCGTTTTGTATTAAACAAGCATTAGAACGAGCCAGGGAAGCTTTCAATATGAAATTGAAGGTGGGTTTTTCGCTTTTTGCATTTTTCTCTTTTTCTTGAAGACTAGCATTCAAGACATAAGGGCACGATGACATAAAAAAATATTTTCATTTTTCATTCTTTTCAAATTCTTTTTTTTTTTTTTTTTTTTTTTTTTATTATTTTCAATC